TCCAAATACGCTACACCAACTCCAAAAATGAAAAGCTCGTCCTCCAAATCGTTTCAACGAAAAAACAACAGTTACGGAAAGGTACCTACAGATCATTCGACAAAGAAGCGTAGCAAGTCATCCAGTCAATCACCCCCTGGAACGCCACCACGTACAAAGAAACGTGCTCCTGAAATCACTCAGACTCCTCCCGAGACTCCTCCAAAATTTTGTACGTCAGGATCAAGCAAACCAATTACTACGATTTCTGACCTATCTCTACCTGAACAGGCTAGCATGACCGATTCGTTTGTAAATAACGAATTTTCATTACAAGATTACACTGATGGCAGTGAAATTGAAGAAGAAGAAGAAGTTGTGCTCACGTCAGGTCAAGTGACTACCGAATTCTTGCAGCAAATGCCTGAACTTCAAGCTGCAATGCCATCTGCAATCCCACGTGCCCTAAGACCTTTATCTGAGCCTACCGTGAAACCTACGAACGCAGAAGAGATGGATGTGGATTTTGATGAATTCGATTATCGTTCGGTCAACAAACGGCCGTTTAATGATGATGAATATATAAAAGAACTCGCTGTTTATTACTGGAAGAATGTGACATATACCCCACCCTATTATGGTGCGGATATGGCAGGTGATTATCGAAACCTGAAGATTATCATTTTTATTGTATCACGTTTGCATTTTTCGACCCTTTTTTATATATATATCAGGTACTTTATTTACTGATACGACTAAGTCGTGGAATGTAAATTGCCTCGATAACTTGTTGAATACTATCGATCCAATTCCTGGTGTAAATAACGCATACCTTTATTTTGGAATGTGGAAAGCATGCTTTCCATGGCATGTCGAGGTATACATTATGCTCACTATTGATTTATAAAGCGAATAAACATAAATAACTTTTATTTTATTGACGTAGGATAAAGATTTATATTCTATTAATTATATCCATTTTGGAGCACCAAAACACTGGTATGCTATATCTCCGCAACGGGCCGACAAATTTGAACAGCATATGAGAGGTAATAATCCTTGCATAAATTTGTTCTTGGCGCAGTATGCAATGCTGCATGATAAATGCAATTAAAAATACTTAATATGTAAAATTATGGGATGTCAACTATATATAAAAACTCCGAGTGGCGCAGTTCGTTATTTAAAGGAACTATATAAAACGACTAACAATGCATTTCGCCTAAATCTGCAAATAAATATAAAAAACAGGCTGGTTCGGATATGCATCCAAGAATTGCTCTGAATTTCTGCGCCACAAAGAGTTTCTTGTTTCGCCTTCTGCTCTCGACCGTGCTCCAATTCTCTACAATCATGTTATTCAAAGAGAAGGTGAATTTATCATAACTTTTCCTCGCGGATACCATTCAGGATTCAATTTAGGGTTTAACTGCGCAGAAAGTGTTAATTTTGCATTCGAAGACTGGATTGAGATCGGAATTAGAGCAAAATCATGCGCATGTCGCCCTGATTCTGTACGAATCGATGTCCGAGCTCTTTTTGGTCATTTGTTGGATCCAGATATCTCAAATACGAGTTCACAGTCCATTATTCCATCATCATCATCATCGTCATTATCATCGTCATTATCATCATCATCATCATCATCACCACCACCACGAAAATTGGTTAAACAAACTGCGTCACGGAAAATTACTTCAGTTGCTCCACATTCAAAAAAGACAAGGATTAAATTATCCTCAAATTCCATGGGTACGACATCAACCAAAATTGTACTTTCCCCGAAAAAGGGTAGGTTGAAATCTCACCATAGTAAAGCAGGTAATTATCATGTGATGTACACAGCGTAAATAAGATCTTAAAAATATTTATTAATATATTATAATAATTATATAATATTATTGCTAAAGTTCATCCTCATCAGGTAAGATATAATCATTAGTTAAATATAAAAATTTTCTCGAATTTACTTTAATCTTATCTAACATTGACAATGTTTCTTGTTAGTGTTATTTATGTCCAAATAAATACAGTTATGACGAAGAAACATTGGAAGGAGGTGAATTTGAACTTATATCAAATGATGATGGCAGTCAATATGCTCATGGGTAATTACCAATTAATCACCTTTTCTTTATTATTTTCATAAGAATCAACACCTTTTCTTTATTATTTTCATAAGAATCAATATTCATATTTGAATTTTTAACCGCACTATTAGTTTATGTGCAATGTTTGTGCCAGAAACGTGGATCGCCAGTACAGATGGTTCAATGGCTGATTGTAAAATTATTGAAACAGAACCTATACCTACATATCGATTTGAAACAGTAGGTTTTGGAACTTTTGTAGACATATATACTATGTTAAACTATTAAAATAATATTAACAATTAATCTTTATTCGTTCCTTTAGGAATGTCAAGTTTGCCGTACCAAAGAAGGTGCATGTGTCCAGTGCCAAGAAGCTGGCTGTGCGAAGGTATTTTGATATTATACAAAATTTGTCAGAACCTTATGACTTACTATTTGATCTCATTTGGT